ATAGTTTTGGGTCCCGGGGACTCATGATTGGATCCACGAGTGATCCTCCGTACTGTTCCTACGGTACTCGTTGCATTCTACTAGTAGTAATTTTCTCACACAAATCATTTTCACCTACCAAATCCTGAAAATTCAAAACTGTAAAAATGGCCAGGACCACAATATTTTTGATCAATAACTCTTCTTGATACTAGGTTTGGTTGTTTTCCATCATACACTTTTGGGACTCAATAGGTGCATTATTCTATTCTAAATTTATGGAAAAGCTATGGAATATGTGACTGTTGTTGGCACCAATTTTTATTTAAATCCTTCTAACTAGTACAAAGAGGGCCACCAGGACACAGTACCACAAGAGTATTATTTGATCAATTACTCTTCCAGAGGGGGATACTGGTAGGTCTGGATAGTTTCCCACAACATATTGCTTGGGGCTTATCAACACCAGATAAAAAAACAAAAAATTAAAGAAATTCCATTGTCATGTTGTAAGATACAAGAAGTTCCCATTAGTAATTTCTAGTACTACTACTAATAGTATGCTCCAGATACTACTAGTACTAGTAGTAGTGTCTGGTGTTCAGCATAGTTTTAGTACTTTATAGATAACATTTGTTTTCTTTCTGAATTCAAGGTACTATCGTTGTTGTGAAATTCAGTGCACAAGCAAAAATGAATCCTCAATCATTTTTTAAGTAGTAGTACTAGTAGTGCTGGTGCTGGCAGTACTATTTTTTAGTACTACTAGTAGTAGTACTAGTACTAGTACTAGTAATAGCTCACTTTTAACAGCACCACTTGTTACCATTCTGCTGTTTCAAATTATTTAGGCCTTGTAATTTCTTTGAAGAATCCACTTTTAGCTATAATTGAAAAATGGTTTTGGCTACTAGTGCTGCCACCAAAAAATCCTCTAATTGATCCAGAATTCATTTTTCTCTAGTCGTAGTACAATGATGACACAAGTGAGCTAGAATCTTAACAAACCACCACACAACATTGATTTCCACCACCACCAGCATATAGACAAAAGTGCTTTGTGATTTTAGTTTACTACTACTATTCTATTACTGCTACTACTACTACTACAAGTACTAGTAGTAGTATTCTTCCTGGAATTCACCAACAATGCAGAAGAGAATTGAAAATATTGCATCATTGCCAATGCATCCTCCTCACTGTGATGTGCAATCACCCATTCAATCTCATTTTGATGCAGAGGAATAACTATGAAATGTGGATATTCAAAAGTACTAGTGTGGTCAACCAACAGGTAAAGCAGTCAATTTGTCACCTTTTCTTTTGCACAGCAGCAGTAGTAGTAGTACTACTAGTAGCAGTTCTGTAGTACATTATTCCTCCTCCTCAGCATGCTCCGCTCCTCTTGTCACCACCATCCAAGAAGAACCAATTGAGCACAAGCAAGAAAGGGCATGATTTGTTTCCCTGCTCTACGCACTAGTACTACTAGTGCTTGATCAGGAACAAGGAGACCTCTATTTTAAATTGTTCCTTCATAGTGTACTTTCATGTGTACAGCAAGGGTGAAGGATAAACTCAGGGGAAAGAAAAAGAAACACAAGACGGTAACACCATCTCGTACTCTATCGTATTTTCAATACATATGAATCATAGAGAAATCAAATTTGCCTTCATCCCAAAGAGGGGGTCCACAGTCCAAGATCCACAAAATCGAGGAGGGGCACGCACCACACCCCCTCTCGAATTTCCGATCCCGATCCGTGACTGATCGATCGATTGATCCATTCCCGATTTTGAAGTAACGAAGTTACAGTACTAGGTAGGGTACGTACGGTACGATACGAACGAACGAATCAATCCTCCCGGCGAAGGCATTCTCCACATGCTCGAAGTGGGTCTCGACGCGTGCATCCCACGATTTTCGGGCAACACATCACGTAATCGCTTGTTTTACATGAGTTTTGCAGCAGGCAACCGATCCCAGATCCACTCCAAAGGGCGTCCCCCAGCACAAACCACGACCGTACGGGCTCGTAAGCATTCCTCCGTATGGCACCGCATGGTATTGTATTGTACACAGCACACACTATCGTCTCTTCACCACTCCGTGTTGCTGTTTCTTTTATTGGTTGCACCGTGATGCGCGCTGCTCCAATGAGAAAAAGCCGAAACCCGACAGAGCCGTTGGTGTTGTTGTGTTGTGTTGTGTTGCGTTGCGTTGCGTTGCCCCCTAGCTGCTCCGCTGTTAGGCTGGCTGCTTGCCTATGACGTACGTACGTGCTTGTTGATGGAAGGATTCTAGGATACTGCGTTGTTGGAATGCGAACTCCGTTCTGCGCTTGTTTGCGCTTGTTCACTTCGTGTCGACCCCGTTGCTCCCTTTGTCTCGCCTTGTATCCTGCCCGATCCTTTGCTACACCTTCTCCTCACAATATTCTCTTTGAGTTACTTTCAAAACACAAACAACAAACACTACCAAAATGTTCGCCCGCAACGCCATCGTCCTCGCCGCTGTCCTCGCCTCCACCGAGGCCTTTGCCCCCGTCTCCCGGGTCAACACCGCCTCCACCACCGCCCTCGAGGCCGCCACCATCTGGTACTCCACCTCCACCGGAAACACCGAGACCGTCGCCCAGTACATTGCCGACGCCGCCGGAGGCCTCGACATCAACGACATTGGTGACGCCTCGGACGACGAGATTACCGGATCCGACGGACTCATCATCGGTGCCCCCACCTGGCACACCGGAGCCGACGAGCAGCGCTCGGGAACCTCCTGGGACGACTGGCTCTACGACACCCTCCCTTCCCTCGACCTCGACGGAAAGAAGGTTGCCATTTTCGGAGTCGGTGACCAGCAATCCTACGGAGACAACTACTGCGACGCCGCCGGAGAGCTCTACGACCTCTTCACCGCCAAGGGCGCCAAGGTCTTTGGATTCACCAGCCAGGACGGATACGACCACGTCGAGTCCAAGGCCGTCTACGACGGAAAGTTCTGCGGACTCATGTGCGACGAGGACAACCAGTACGACCTCTCCGAGGACCGCTCCAAGGCCTGGGTTGCCCAGCTCAAGGACGAGGGATTCTTCTAAACGAAACGAAGATGGTAGTACAAAAAGTTTTGTGACGAACCAACTCTCCGCTGCCTTCGTGTGCAACGGGAAGGAAGGCCGCTAGAATTAAAATAAAGTAACTTTCAATACAAACTACTGTGGTGATTACAGCAATAGTTGTCTGCTTGTGACTGTAACGATTGATGAGCGAGTCTCATAACTCTACAGCATCTTCCTTGTGAATCTATTTCTCGTCATGGCGACGCAGCTGGACAACTGGTTCTTTTCACCGCCTTTTTTCTCGTTGTGATCTGATACCCGTTTGCAACCGCGGGTAGCGAAACCTCACCGTGCGACACTTTCTCTTCTTCTCGCCAGAGCCCGGCAATCGGCGGCACGCGGTGGTTTCACCCCCGGAACACAAGAACGATTCCTGGTGACGGCGCAAGAGACCCACCAACGAACCACGGGAATCGTCGGTGGCGGGCATGGCGCCAAGTGGACTCTTGTCGCTTGCGTTGCAAGTGGCAATCCTGCAAAGTCACAGGAAGTGAATGACCTAATTGCAGCTGTTATCAGGAAAGAAACAAGGGGACATCGAATCGAGAGCTGCATGGATAGGCCCCTAACCAAAAATGAGTTCCTCCGAACAATTGCCTTCATGGGCAAATATAGAACCCTGATCAATAGACTTCGATAGCTAGCAATGATCAAGTTCCAGTTTCATTTGATTGGTCATAACAATGATACAGCACATGTAGGAAAAAGCAGCTTGGAAGTGCCGACTGAATTCCCCCAGGTTCCTCACAGCAAAGATGAAGTGGTCAAAGAATGTTAGAGAGGAACACGATTGTCCAAGACAGATTTTGCTTGGATCCATGGATCAAAGGTCTTGTGTGGTACTTGGTCTTGCTCTATTCCTGGAGAAATGGCGCAGATCAAGCACTGGAGCGTCCAGTCAGTGGTTGTTCACCGAAGGTGTTACTGATAGGCAATCATCTGTTGCTGCTATGGACAAAGAAGGTACAAAGGGAAAGAATAAATATTCTAATTTTATGAAGCGCTACTCCTTTAAGAATGTGGTCTTTGTACGTGGCAACCGTTCTTGCACCGGCGAGCCATTCGTCTGGTTCCACACGTTCTGAGCGAACCCAAGAGTTAAGTTGGCTGAAATGGAGGATCCTGGTGGAACAGCTTTGCTTAATGATATTTGATGTGGGCGGCGCAACGCTTTAGCAAGAAAGTATATTTCAGCAAGTGTGCTCGTGCTTCCAACCTATTCCGGTTCATTTGCAAATCGAAATTCCATATAATCAACAAGGATTTTCCAATACTCCATGTTTGCACACGCATGTCTTTCGATATCAACGTTTCCACCGAGTTAGCTCAATACACAAGCAACTTTGTTGCAGAGGGATTCCTTGCAAGATCATGTTCAAAGATGTCGATGATGCATACATTGTTTCTCTTTCTCGGGAGAAAACTTGGGATCGTCTTCCAGGATACAAGAACGATTGTTGAGTACTTGAATGTCGTTTTGGTAAAATGTACGATGGACACCTCTCTGCCAAACAGGATTGAGGTCTAAAATCCACATTCAGCTGAAGGTTGCGGTGAAGACGGCAGACAAACAGTTTTGTGATGGAGATTTTCAAAGGCAGCAGAAGACTTGCGAGGAGCAATCCGAATTCATTGTATGTTTTACATAGTGCTAAGTCTTTTATGCGTCACATCACGCCAAAAGTCAATGTCAATCCGTTAGTTCAAAAAGTGTTTTCCTTCTATTGTGAAATTTTTGTTCATTATATGTGCAGCATAAAAGAGTGAAGAACTTGTTTTCTGTTGATTGTGTAGAACTGGTAGATCGGTTCAAAGTCCGACTAAGGTCAAGTTCCAACTGCGAATGAACCTCGGTTCTAACTGAAACCTGCATCGAATCTATAACCAAAACAAAATCTGCATCCGTTGGGCTGTTCTCACCGAGGTAGAGACATTATCATTATTTTTCATGATGGCCCGCCGAGTTTGAGCTCATGGACAAGCCGCAAGAGCACGTGGACTCATGTTGGACGTACCGCGCAAAATGTCTGTGATAAGTCCTTGTCCACGTCTTCGTCGCACCTTTTCTCTCTGAGAAAAAGTCTCGGGAAAATTCCAACGACTAAAAGAAACATATGTGTAAAGCACTCGAGAAAAGGATGGAGCGTGATCCATAGTTTCTCCATCGGAACCCCTCAGACACAACAATTATTGAAACATGAGATACTAGGTACAGGAATGGATGGTCGCTCGGACCGATGGTATTCAAAAAGAGGTGACTGCTCTCTCGACTACCAAAAAAATGATTCCAAAAATATACTATAGAGTTACCTCCGAGATGTGTAGGAGGGAAATCGATTGTTCTTATTTGCGAACTAGGCTATGCTGCCTTCTAGTACCAGCGTTCGAGATAATCGAAGGCCGACCTTCCGGCCGGCAGCAAGCAACGAAACCCTCCTGCTCTCCTTGGAAAGAGGGAGGGATCGATCTGTTTCCCTTCCCTTCGGTGACCCGGAAATTGTAAGGGTTGGATCCGACACGATTCGAATCGACACGATGATGATTCTGTACAACAAAACAATGCAACAACAAGGGAACGCAACGCAAGACCAGCATAGGAGATGTCTAAAACGAAGCCTTCTTCGTGGGTTGGTTGGTTGGGAACCTGGTTGGAGCTTTCGTGGGACGCTGCGTGGGGAATTTGGTAGGGGCTTTGGTTGGATTCCGGGAAGGTACGTTGGTTGGCCTCCTGGTGGGTGTACGGGTTGGTGCTGGGGTGGGGTTCTTTGTGGGCCTTGCGGAAGGCCGCTTGCTCGGGCGTCGCGTCGGTCGCCTCGTGGGTCTCCTCGTGGGACGTCTCGTTGGCTTTCTGGTGGGTTGCTTGGTAGGTCTGGGCGAGGGTTTCTTGGTCGGTTGTGTCGTGGGCCGGGGGGAGGGCTTCTTCGTAGGGGTGGCGGACGGTCGGTTGGTTGGTTCCACGGTGGGTACGCCCGGAATGGCAACGCCGACGGGCTCCTCCTCGACGATGAGCACCATAGGAATTCCGTTGATGTTCACACGGAAATAACCAAGCATGGACGAAAGCGCGTTTCCTGGCCTTGCCTGCACAATGATGACGGGATTGCCACCTTCGTCCGAACCCACGAAGCCAATGCCTTGGTTGAAACCGGGTGGAGCCTGGAAGCCAAAGTTGTCTGCGGGAGGGGGAGGCCTAGGTCCCGGTCCCTTCTTGGGAGGGCCCTTTTTCTTGGGGGGTCCCTTCTTGAACTTCTTCTTGGGGGGTGGGAATCCCTTCTTCGGAGGCGGAGCACTAAAGGGCAGGGGGCGCGGGTTGTAGGCACTGATCCTCTGGTTATAATTCGACGACTGGCCGGGGCGCCTGACCCGCCGGGGCGCATACCCGTACGGCGCCAGTTGGCGTTGCTCATTGTTTTCTCCGTCGACTTCGTATTCGTAATCGTATTCGTATTCGTATTCGTACCCGGCTGGGTCCATCTCCGCGTAGTTGGTGTTGTCTCCCGCCAGCATGGCTTCTACCCTCACGATCTCCTCTTCCGTCAGTTCTTCCGCGGCGATCTCTTCCATGATCATCTCTTCGAGTGACGCCTCGCGTTCTTGTTGCTGAGAAACACCTTCGCTACCGATTTCATCGTAATAGATGTTGCTGTTGCAACCTACCAGCTGCAGGGAGCCAAAAAGGAGGACTAGCGATGATCTAAGCTTCATTCTCGTTGTGCTTTCGTTCTTTTTTTTTGTTTGCTGCGTTAAGCTTCTAGGGACGCTCGTCAGATTCAGTGCTATGGGATACAGATCAAAGGAATCAGAACACCACAAACAAAAAGTGAGATTACCGTGTTCTTGTCAATCAAGGTGTATCTATTGATACCTATGGATGCAGAGCGGCAGCGGAGGCTATACCCATCACCACTGTACAGTCTCTATTACATTGTGTGACTCCAAGCCCACATCATCTTCAAGGTGAATCAAGCGGACCTCATTACATCTCATCGCACTCCAACCTACCGTAAAACAAACCGTGCTGTCTGTTGCTCGATTGGTGATGCTTCTACAGTACTGTGTTGTTTCCTCCAACTATGATTTATGAATAGATGCCTGCCGTAGTACCCGATCGGTTATGTTCGACTAACGGACTGCATGTGTGTGACATAAATATTGGGGGTAGAACTAAGGACGGGAGCGAGCTTGATGCATTTTTGTCATCCACTTTCGTCGCACGATGACCAGTGGCACCGAAAGAACATTCGATCTTCGTGTTCGACAAAATTCGGAAGCAACTTTCACGACCTCGTGTGGTAGCATCACCAAAAATACTATGTGTTATGTGACAGAAATCTGTCGAACGTGCGAAGTCCCTTTCGTGCTCTGAAGAATAAAAGTATGATGTTGATTTGGAAATACTTAACATGGATGGTTGCCGTAGGTACCATACCAGAAATTTCTACGGGAACTACAGCCGTTAGGTTGAGATTATTGAACTTCTTGACCACGCACGTTAGCGATCTTTTTTCGCACGCAATTTTTGTTAATGGGTCACGTGTTTTCGATGATTTTTGAAATTAGACGTGTAAAATTTGATCAAGCGAGTCGTAGGCATCCACATGATACTATTGCCTTTTGATATACTTAGTCCCTCAACGGGAAACGATTATCTATATAATGGGACTTCGCGATCACAACAGCAATCATGTGCGTTACATCTAGAGGTGCCTAATCCCGTATGTAATAAGAGTTTTTGTGTAAGCTCATGTTAAAGCATGTCGTACCACAAGGCCTCGTCGCGTTTTGGTCGCAACAATACCTGCTTCGGCAGCGTACCGTATGGTTGGTATCGGTAAACGTACAAGTAACTCGTTCGGCACCGAATGATCTGGATCATACCCGTGAAGAGAAATAATTGGCGTTCTCGAGCGACTGGACGATAATATGGAAGGTGCGAACATACTGTAACAGATTAGGTATGGATACGTACAGTATGTTGGTGAAACAACCCTTGGAAATACGTAGCGTACGTACCGTACGCTACTACAGGACAAGTACTAGGTAGCAGTTGCTCTAAAAATGATACTACTTCTACCGATTCACCGATACAAGTACGAGTACTTCGCCGATACAAGTATCAAGTACCGGTACGGCTCGGACTTCCGTATTCAGTAATTAAATGGTATTTTCTGTTGTATTACATGGGTAAGAATGGTTTGCAATAGAGAGTGAGATTATCCACTAACTTTTATTGTGACTTTGGGATCACCTCAAAGGAACGAGACACAAAGGGGGAAGTAGAAAAGTAGAAGTATGTCACAACGAAAGAAGTACTAGTACTAGCTAGGCTGGTCGAGGTACTAGTGAAATGATGACGACTGTCGATGTGCTGATATGATCCACAGTACCATCAAGTACTTCTTTACGATACGAAGTCTTCATGGTATTAACCAGAATTACTGGTAATCCCAGTGCTGCAACAGCGCGATTGACTCTAGCCGCACTAATAGCAACAATCGTACTAAAACTTGGGGACGGTATCATGTGCATATGTTCCATATAGAATTGACGCAAGTTCTTCGACTCTCGTGTTCTCTTATTTTATTTATCTTTGGATCTTTGATCTCATTTTGACGAAAACAGCGCACCATGCACTTGCCGTAGTTTCTAGAATGGATCATCTTGATTCTCTTCCAGAAAATCACATCTAGCACATTGTTGCAAAAATCGTTACCGGTACCAGCAGCAGTTCTGTGTCATGATTTACGGCTCACACTGGCCAACGCTGCAGGCAGGTAGAGTACCAATAGAGTCGTACCGTAAGTACTTCACTTTCTATCAAACGAAGTTCCCCACATCGATCAGAATGAAAGCGCGTTTATGATTACAAACAATAAACTATTGCTTCGTGATAGATTGTTCATCTTGGAGAAGCACAGGACACTACTATACTCATTGCAACCTAATGTTTTTGGCAATGATAAGAAAATCACCTTGGTGAGCGTCGATGAGGTATCCATACCACAAGTCGGATGGTGTTTGGTGCTATAAAAGCACTCCCTCGACAACCACTATGATAGCATTGTTACGACCTCCTTTCCGTACGCGCACGCGAGTGCAAACGCAAACTTCTTAATCGCTGGCTTGGTAGATGGCGCACAACCCAAGAAAAGCGCGTTTCGCAGACATAGCAGCCTGGCCATGTCAGCATTTTCTTCGACGACCTTCACGGCCTTTTCGTCGGCGAAATCAGGGAGGAAATCGCCCAGCTTGACGCGAAGTGCTCGGACAATGCTCCACATGGCGATGACCCGTGGTTCCGTCAGCGATGCGGTGAGAGCATCATCGAGCGCTTTGGCCTGGCATGTGTCGATCGTAAACGCGGCTGCTAGACTCGGAACGATCTTGAGTGCATCGGCCAATTCAACCTCGTTCCAATCGCAATATTCCATGGCACAGAAGCTTTCGAGCCAGGTTAGATCCTCAAATGCGTGGCCTATACCCGTCCTGCCGAAGTCGATCAAGTAGCGGTTATCCTTTGAGTCGATCATGATGTTGTCACCGTGAAGATCGCCGTGAACCAGGCACTGCGAATACTTTGCCGTCTTCTCTGCTAGCGCACGGAGCTTTTCGTTGTCTTGAAGCAGGGCCGGGACAATGTTTGGCAGCTCAAGCCCGCCGCCAAAGTTCACAGTAGGATGGTTCGCCTCGTCCTCACCGAGCACTTCCCTCATTTTATTCTGTACGGACGAAGCCAGCTTTCCAGTGCCACCCCACTTCCTCCAAACTTTCTGCAGCACCCAAAACGACGAGAGCCGATTTTCTTTCATCTCGGTGGGATCTTTACCGTCGTAGTCGTAGCATAGCCCCAGGCAGCTTGCAGCCGAGAAGGCCTCCGAGCGCGCCTTCGCGCGATGAAGACGTACACACAGGGTCCCAAAAACGTACTCGACAGCGCTTTCGAGTCTTTCTGATAGATCTTTCTGTTTCTGTGCCTTCCCTTCTCCTGCAGCGTTCAGGAGGTCGCTATATAGTGTCGCAAATCCCTTCGGACCGTCGTCGCCCATGTTTGCCAGCGTGAGAAGCATACCGCCGGTCTCTCCCGCCTCCGCGTAATTGATCACCTGTGGACAGTTGTTTCCGAGGGTCATCATCATCTGGCGGGTGACATCGAGCTCTTTCGCCACCTCCTCCTCATCTCCCATCTTGAGGAATATCATGGCCCCTTTCGCCTTCGCTCCCTCGTTAGTCGTGATTGTGGGTGTACAAAAGAACTTGTGCGCCTTCGAGAAGCCCTTGCCGATCTTCTTCAGCTCCACCTTGCAGACGTTCTCCTTAAAAATGGTCGAGATGAGCAACCTATGGTCTTCTTTCAGCTCCGGTTTGACGACCACGCCTTCGGGTACAATCTTTATTTTTAGGTGAGTTTCTTCACATCTCTTCTCGGCAGCAGCCGAAAGAGACGGGCCGTCTGGTAGAAGCCACTTTACGGCCGCTTTGGTGGTCGACAAGATCTTCGCCTCGAGAATTTCTTCGACGTGGGAGAGGAGGTCCGCTCGATTGAAGCTGCCAGAACGCATACAAGAAAGGCTTAGTGAGAGCAGGACGCCCACATCTGCGCCGTTAGCCTTCAGTTCATGAATCGTGTAGAGCGCCTTGTCGAAGTTTCCGCTGCAGACGCAAACTCGAGAAGATCCAACGAGCTTCGCCACCTCCTTGTAGCTTTTTGCCTCCTTGAATGTAGCCGAATAATCGTGTCCCATCTCGTGCATCATCTCGTGCAATACCGAAGCTCCCGCGTCCTCGGGAAGAAAGTGAATGAGTCGCACGCGTTGCGAACAGTCTTTCACTGCAAACTGAAGGAGAGTCTCCAATCTCACACTGACGGTCTCGAACAAAAGAATCTTATCGTTAAAGCTTTTGGAGCCAAAGTGATGGAAGACGATCACTGGTGCCTTGTCAAGACCCTCGGACGTTTCTGTTTCCATTGCGTCTATCTCTTCGGAGCCGGTGTCCTTGTTCTTCTTGAGCATGCGTCTAGGTGTACATGGAGTTGAACAACCTCGGGTCAGGGATCGGTTGGTGAGAAAGGCCGAGGCCAAAAGAGCAACGACAAGCAAAACACCGACGTCCGCTTGTCCAACAGGCATTTCCATCATCTTCTATTGATACTGTATCAGATGCTAGGTTGGTGAGGATTGCGTCCCAATGTGCAGAATTGATAATATTGTCCTTCGTGAGCTTTCAAAAGATCATCGATTCTGGAGGATCAAACTCATCTTCTTTCATTATAGTTAGAAGAAGGTACAATTGCCGAAAATTCCTCGCCACGAATTTCGTAGCAAGTGCTCGCGCTATTGGCGAGGTGAGAATTTAGATGAGATTCGGAGTTAAAAACCAGAGTACATATCGTAGTTAGAATAATGCCATAAAACAATCACAACAGCCGTTCTTCCATTAATACAAGCGCGCCACAGCCATTCACGTACTGAAAATACTGCGGATGACTATTTATTTTTGGCAAGTTTTCGCATCGTAGAAGATCCCGCATAATTACCTGGTACTGTCTGAGAGGACGAAGGACGAACTTGCAACTCCGGCATCAGTATTTCGCCACCCACAGGCGCAAATCGCAAATCTGCGACATCCTTCCCCCCCCCCTTTTTTAAATTTCTCCCTCCGAAATTCATGGTTTATTTTTTTTCATGAAAAACAAAAAATGGCTCATTACTATTATCAAATTCATGTTGTAGGCTAAGAAGTATGAGTACCGAACCACAAGGAATCCGCACATATTCCATTTACGAAAGTTTTACTACTAGTAGTAACTTTAATTGAGAGATACCGATACGACTAAAACTAGATCCGGTAGCAAAGTAAACAGCAAAAAGTCGATGCAACTAAAGTTCTTTGTTCTAATAAAAGTTCTTGCCTGAGATTTGGGTCGGTGCTGTTGCTTCCCTGGCCAGTTTTCAAGAAGATCTGAACCCCAGCACTATGTATACCTTGGTTGTTGAAAAAAATCTATGGCACTTCGGTAGTGAACTTCACTAGCTGGCATGAAATTGTGGCAGTACAACAAAACGTACAACAAAAACTCTCGCGTACAAACATGGGTTGCTTCCGTTACAGGATTCGTCTGCGGTGATTTTTTGCACCAAAAATCTCCGTTTCAAACAACGTTTTATCACCGTAGTTTCGTTGGGTTGCAACTGGGGTTTGGTCCACTGCCCCGATTGCTGCTCAGTTCCTTTTTTTCTTCTTTTTCTTCTTCTTACCCGGGCATTTTATGAGATCGTACTGGTGCACAACGGGCGACACGATGCAGTTGCGGTTCATGAATTTGGCATCTTCCCCGCGTTTTACGATCCGGCCGCCCCTCCCAACCACGTTCATGGGGCCAAAGCCTTGTTTGTGGACGGTCACGGCTATAGCGAGCGGAGCACGAAAGCAGCAGCGACGGCAACGACCGGCCGCATCGAGACTCTTTTCGTCGTCGTCGTCGTATTTGGTGTTGCGATCGTTTCCGGTTTGGAGTTCGGGTTCCTCTCGTGGCGCTGGGGGATTTGCCAGGAGCGAGTTGCCCGGAGCCCGCACCAGTACGTTCAGCACAACCTGGTCGTTGCATCCACCCCATTCGGGGTGGGCCATGTACTCGCCGATCCTGCGAAACGCGTGGGGCGACCCTATGATGCTTCCCCCGTTGACGATCTTGGTCCCCTTTAGAACTTTCCCGTATTGCTCGTACAGGCCGCAGGCCGGTTCCTTCATCTTGTTGTAGTGCCACTCGTTCATGCCGTGGTTGTGCTCAAAGACGTGCAGGACGCCGGAGGGAAGGCCGGCCCCGCATCCGCAGTCGCCGGCACAACCATTCCCGTCGCCGCCGGGGGGGGGAGACATCGGCGGCGGCGGCAGTAGCTCGTGGAGGTTGGCAAAGGGATTCGACTGGAACACCGAGTCCCGAAAGTCGGTGGTGAGGCACAGGGAATACACGTCCGGGTCGCACACGGTGGAGAAGAACCCGAAGCGATCGCGATTGATTCGTTCCCATTCGCTCCCGGTGGTGGCGGCCTTGCCTTTCCCCGTGTTGGACGTGCCCGAATCGGTCTCGAGGTAGTGGACGTTGTGCTCCTTCAGGTACCTCCGTATGGAGGCTGGTTCTTCCGGGGAATCCGTGTTCCCGTCCCCGTGGTGCTCGCCGCCGCCGCCGCTTTCGTCCCTGGCAATCAGCAACCAAACGTCACCGAAATAGAATTCTCTTAGGGGCCCGACGAATCTCCGAAAGTCTTTCAGCGAGTACCCGATCGCTGCGCTCATCACCACCGGGGGGAGGAACCGAGGAGTCCGGTCGTTCGATCGCTCGGCTTCCTTCGACAAGGCCACCGATCGGAACGGGGGGGCTCCGGGATCGAGGTGGTCTACCGTCTCCACGATGTCGCCACGGAGGTCGTATCGTTTCAGTGCAGAAGCGGCGGGGAATTCCGTGGCCGAAGGAAAGGACGGCGTGCCGGACGCGCTTCCGTCGCTGCCACCACCAGCATCGCCGTGTTGCAACAGCGGTGGTAGGGACTCTTTCGGGGGAAAAGTTCCGTTGGCACGGTTCGAAGTGGCAGTCACTGTTGCAGTCGCGTTTGCATTTTCGCTTTCGTTCGTCGCTGTTGCTGTATTTTGATAGAGGCTGTAGAGCTGCTTCTGTTGGCAAAAGGAAGCGAAGCGCTGCATCCATGCATGGCGTTTGTTGTGGTGCTTGTGTTCGTACCGTTCGACAAAGCCCGGTGCGTCGATGGGTGTCGCGATCCGCTTCGGTGAAAGGGATTTCGATGCCCTCTCGGCTTTTTTTTGCTCCATCTTGTTGCCGGGGCTGAAGCACCTGCCAACAAACTCGTTCACATTGGAAGTGCATTCCACAAAGACTGTGGATTCGGTTGGAAGATCGACGACAACAAAAGGAGACAAAAGAAAAAAGGATCGAGTGAGTCGAGGTGGATTCACTGCGTTGGTCTTGATCGCATCAAGACGAGGATTCCACAGGCTGCTACTAGTCGGTTCCCAAGTTTCGTCCGACCAGTTTTGGACCATGGATTGCGCGCTGGAATTCGATCTTCCATGCCTCGATTCGTGCGATTCGATCCCGATCGACGCAAACCGAAACGACGAGACGAGACGAGGCGCACCTGTAAACTCCCTCCAAACGCGGGCCAGTGGCGAAACCCCGTGGGATCCGAGCAGCGGCAGGGGGTGCAAAAACGGCGTTCCGGGCGCAGCTCCTTCCGGAAGGACGGCCCCCGGGCCGGCCCCGGGGTGGATCGAGGCCAGGTCCGGGATCAAGGTGCCACGTTCCGTGCGTTTTCCGTTCCGCTCGAGGCATCCGGAGGTCGGCCCGTAGCGGTCGTGGGCCTCCGACAGCCACCGGTAGTACCACACGGGAACTTCTGGATCGGATTCGTCGAGGATCAGGGCCCGGTCTTGGTCGGTCCTCGGCGTCCACGGGACGGGAGGCGGACGTTGCCGCTCGTGCTGCTTCCCGCCCTCCGTGTCGTTCTCCCGAGGCGGAGGGGCTTGTTCCGAACCACCGCTGCTTCCGATCGAAACCGTCGCTGCCCCGTGGTTCCACTCGCTCTCGATCCAGCGCTCGAGGGAGGCGATCTGCTCCTCCCAATGGTCCTCCTCGGTCGTGGTGCTGTTGTTGCTGCTGCTGCTGTTGGAATTGCTGTGCGACAAGGGGGAATCGCCGCGCCGGTCCCCCCACGGCGCTTCGCTCGAGAACCGGGGGGGGCGGTCGAAGAGGACCACCAGGTCGATCGCTTGCCCCCGGCCCTCCCGGCAGCAGGTGGCGGAACGGTTTGTCTTTGGGTGGTCCGGGATGTTTCCTTGGCCTGCGTCGCGGGGAGAGGGATCGGTGTAGTCGGCAGCCAGCAGGGAACGCAGCAACCGCCGGAGGGATCCGAAGCGATCCGTGGAGAGGACGACGATCGTCATGTCGTTGTGGGGTTGTTTCTTTTTTTGTTTCTTTTTTTTCTGTTTCTGGTTTTTCTGTTTCTGTTTCTGGTTTATCTGTTTCTGGTTTTCACTCTCTTTTTGTTCCGCGGTGCTCGGTTGGAACGGTTCGTTCCTGGCTTGGTGTGTGGTGGTTGTGTTGCTTGCTGCATTCATCGCTGCCTCGGCTGCCATCTCTAGCAACGCCTTCTTTTTGCGCTGGTATTGTTCTTCCAATGGCAATAGCATTGGGATTGGTATTGGCGAGTTCGATGGCTCGGATCCGCCATCCTTTGTCTCGCTTGTCCCAATGGCCTCTACCGGCGGCGGGGGTGGCAAAGACGGCGAGGAGGAGTTGGAAGAAGAAGAAGAAACAGCAGCAGCAGCAGCCGGCAGCAGCGACTCCACCACCACCTCCACCGCCGGCGTTTTTCGGTAAAAGGAGGCCTGAAACCTCGCCACGGAACCAATCGAATACAGGACCAGTGCCACGAGCAGCAGCAGTCCGATGGGCTTTTTGGGTTTTGGCATGCTGTCGCCGTGTTGGTTCGCGTACCGTACAATGCCGTGTGGTCCCTGCCCTTCTTCCGGATCGCATCCACCCAAGGGTTTGCAGAGCAACAGCGCAGTGTGAAATTGTTCCTCCGACCGAGTGAGGTACGAGTACTCGTACGGTATCGTACGGTAAAATAAAGTACTTGTATGTATTTTTAAGTTTTTTGCCCGTCCAACAGTAAATACTCGAACTCGAATTTGTCGGAAGCCTTCTGTTCGGAGACGATACTGTATTTTTTTCGGAGGGAAAAAGGAGAACGGCTTTTTTGAATTTCGAAATCACCATCATCGTCATCTCTTTGCCATCATCGGAAGACTAGTCGGCCCACAAAGAACGAGAGTCAAAGTAGTCAATTCATTACACCTTGGTAAGGGGTGCGTAACGGTAGCGTTATTTTTATATTCCCCGTTTCGTCACCGCTGAGCAATGCCAACAGACCAAATGCTTTTTGTTTTTTGATCTACTTTTTTTGAGGAACACGCAGGAATGAAAGTTTTCTGTTTTCTAAATCGAAGAAAGTTTCCGTTCAGAACGTACATACTTACGAAGTACGTCACACTGTACCTCGTTCCATCAATCTTAAGATGAACCATGATGCTGTACGGTACGGTACCGTACTTTTTAATCGACTGTACCAGCGACTCGCAACTTCAACGACAAAAAAACATTGGATGAAAATTGATCATTAGGTTCGCCGGGGAAACAATCTTCGCTATGGAAAATTCCCCTGACGTCGGCACATGCTTTCTTCCGGGGCTAAAAATATACTTTGTGATTCTACTTCGGCATCAGTAAGATTCTGCCCGTGGGAGAACCACCTCCTGCTCGTTCCGTGGTGTCATCGCACAAAACAAAGATCTTGCTCGGAAAGGAATCCAACACGAGGATCCGAGCCCAACGTTTTACCGTGTTAAGTTCCATACCATTCAAAAAGGACGCAAAAGGACATAAAAATTGTTTTGACGCCCTGTCTCTAAAGGCAGCACCAACGCAACGTGAGTACGTTCGTGCCGTGAGTGGCTGTGATTGTTTTGCTGGAATGAAATCAAATCAAATCAAATGGCATCGCATCGCATCGCATCGTATCACCCACGCACCCACGCATCCGTCGGACGCCAACGAGAGCAGGAAACCCTCTGGCTGTGTTTGAAGTCTTGGATTCAGTTCCCGAACCCACATAGAGAATCCTTCATCTTCGGAACACACAGACTAACCCCTTCTGTTTTCACTCGTGCCACGAACCTCGCTAATCAATATCTTCCTTTCCTTTGTCGCCACTTTCCAATGCTACTCACGACAGCGCAACCACCCGCAACACCGACAACACCCAACCGACAACGCCCAACCGACAAAGAACCATGCGCCTAGGAATCGCCCTTTCTGCCATTGTGGCCCTGAGCTCTGCCAGCGCCGACGCGGATCGCAACGACGAACCACAAAGCACCAAGCCATCCCGGCAGTACCCGGTACCTCTTTCGATGGGGCTTGCCACGAAGCAAAGATCGGCTCGCGATGCCACCAAGAAGGCCACGGTGCTTCGAAACGGCCGGAGCGAAGGCATCGAACCGACGGGCACCGAGGCCATCGATGATGCGAAAGGAGAAGACCCGGACTTCCTCCCGGACCTCGGTGTCATCGGAACTCCCGCCGTTCCCGCGTCCGTCGATGCCGGCAAGGCAAGCACGCCGTGGATGCACCCAGACGAGCAGCGCGTGCTCAAGCCACGCACGGACTGTGCAGCCGATTGTCCCAACGGGCGCCCCGTCATCAAAGTTTCTGGTCCAGACTTTCGAAACCTCCTCAGCAAGTGTGGTCCCAATGCGTGGTTTTGCCCATATGATCTTCCAACAAACTGCTGGGACACATCGCGTGTCACTGATATGTCCTATGCCTTTGCAGCACGTAGCATTTGGCCAGGATCCTTCAACGAGCCCCTGAACTGCTGGGATGTATCAAGTGTGACAAGCATGCGTCGTATGTTTTATGCCCAGTCTTCTTTCAACCAGCCCATTGGTAATTGGGATGTGTCCAGAGTGGGAGACATGGAGCACACGTTTTCTCTTGCTAAAAATTTCAATCAGCCCATTGGTGATTGGGATGTGTCCAGTGTGACAAACATGATGGACATGTTTAATGAGGCATTCCAGTTCAACCAGCCCATTGGCGATTGGAATGTCTCAAGAGTGAAAAGGACCACTGGTATGTTTGGATCACATTTCAATCAGCCCATTGGTGATTGGGATATGTCGTCAGTGACAGATATGAGTTGGATGTTTAGTTCCAATAAATACTTCAATCAGCCAATTGGTGATTGGAATGTGTCGAAGGCAGAGAAGATGAATGGTTTCTTTATTGGTGCAACAAGTTTTAACCAGCCCCTTGACAAATGGGATGTGTCCAGGGCGACAGCAATGTCTAGTATGTTTGCCAATGCAAAAAGTTTCAATCAGCCCATTGACCTTTGGGATGTGTCGAACGTGCAATACATGGGTTTGATGTTTAAAGATGCAACCAGTTTTGATCAGCCCATTGACCTTTGG